CACTCTTTGAACGTTCAAGAAATCGTCACCACCAGGAATACTGGAAATTGAACTGACATTATTATTTCCGAAAATTTTGAAATCCTGAGCATGAAATCGAAATATTGCGATATTGCTGTACTGCTGCATTGTATGAGAACTATACTGTATTTAGTCATTCAATCAATGTTGATCAGGGTCAAGTAAAAATGATTTCAAAGGAGTCCGATCGATAAAATAGAAAGAAATCGGCTGACCTTGCCGAACGAGAGACAATTAGCTCAACTTGATTATCGTTCTTCGATGAGCTTATGATCTCATAAACTTGATCGAATGTTGCGTTTTGCAGTTGATGTCCATTCCACTCCAACACTTCATCACCTCAAATTGCATATCATCAATAGACAACCCCATGAATCGCCGGTTTCTCGTCACTAATGCAATACATCACGTGCTAGTTATCACTTCATTATCTCCTTCATCGAGTCTCGTCAAAAATTCTGAACACAAAAAATGAACAAGATCGCGTTTCTAACCAGCTCGTAACCGTCCAACGGTATCTGCGACAGAGCCACTTTTAACTCGTGTTATGAATGCACCGAGTCGACCTGTATCAGAACGTCGTCCTCCGACAACCTTCAAACATTTGCCTTCTTGGTGAGTATTTACTAATATAGATTTCCGCGTGACATGGGAATGTTAAACTTTCAATTTTTTCTTCATTCACAAAATATTTTCATATAAATCGCCAGCTCTCAAATACATGACTGTTACAATAGACAACTGACATTGATGAATAAACCAAATAAAGCGACAGAACTTTTTAGATCATTCCAGTGCAATGATCATACTGTTAATGAGAATAACCACAATCGAACCATTGCGATTCATAACTAACTCAAGATACAGTGATTTCATTGAAGGCTATTTCAGTAAATGCGACAAAATTTCTTGATGAATTCTCTAATTTGATGAAAAGCAAATGTACATTTCTTTTAATCGCCTTGTTTTAAAGAAAAGAAGTCTTATCCATCCAAAATATAAATTCAAAAATTCATGCCGTCTTCTGGATGTGACACAGAAGCAGTTGAAGGCTCTCACCTTCAGCCCTAAATCTCCACCATGAGGTCCATCGGTTTTATGC